CTAAAAATAACTGATCGATTTGTACACTTAATCGGATTTTATTCCATGTCTCATGTGTACATATTATATTACTCTGAATTCTGAAAGGTGCTTATAATAAATACTTTTTATTTTTTTTTATGGGAGGGGGGTATAGCTGTATAGGTAAAATGTTGAAATATTTTATCCCCCCCACAAACATGGCCAAATTACGCCACTGCTTACCTTTATATAATATGTTTATTTAGTTATCTTATATGTGTATAACCTATATTATGCCGTGCATAATGATAATGATGGTACCTATATATTATTTTCAATGTTGTAGACATGGGCGTAACTATAACTTATAGGATTTCAAACAGGGGGGGGGGAAATTAAAACAAGTTCGTTAGGGTTTATTTACGCTAACACAGAACRACAGAACGGCATGCACTGTTTGCACTGTTGCACTATATTATTAGCAGTAGGTATGCGTTTTGAAAAAGTGATTTTTATAAAGTTCTATAAAATCGACATTATMGCTGTCAGTTTGAGTAAAAGTTGATATTAATGTAATAATGTATAAAGTACAAAACGATTAGCGTTAAAACTCGTAATTCAAATAATTTTCACATAGATCAATCGATAAAATATAAAACRATTACACTCGGTCCCACTAAACTATTTTTAGACTTGAATGTTCTTATATCGCATTTATTATTTCAATGTTCACGTAAAACTTAATTATTACAAATTAAAAAAAAAATGTTTTAATTCAATTTGAGGATCAGGGGTGGGCAAGTGCCCCCCTGCTCCACCCTCGCTACGCCCATGGTTGTAGAGTAATGTAAGATGTAACGCATATTAAAACAATTTTTTTTCAGTCTTACTGTATACATTCAATCATATTTTATTTAAATTATCTCAATAATTGTAATATTTATCTGTAACCCCGTCTCTAACAACTTAGATAAATTATGAAGTAACATTGAATTKAATTTAATTTATTTAAGCTCATCAAATTTTCAAATGAACATAAAATACCTTCAAATTATAAGACGGTACATACAAAACATACAGTCATAGTATGCTGATATCCATAAATGCAGTTGGCATTTGTAAGAGTAAGATCCCTATAAGTATGTCAARTAGAACTTAAAATAGAGTTTTAAATTTCTGAGAATACGACAAAATGGTACCATAGATATTAGATATGGTATAACTATAATGTCATCGGTGGACGCAGTAAATTTCTAAAATCTCTAAGACCTTATAAGTATTTGCAATTATTTATTATAGAATAATACGTATAAAAGTATAAACCTATGTCAAAAGCCAATTTAATATATTCTATTCTTGCAAATGAATAATTTCATAAAATTCGGTATATCTACATCCAGTGCAGAGCGGCGAAGATGATGCGTGATAGCGTCCTCACAAACAGAAGTTAGTCACTAGAAGAATCAATATTTTTGTAAGTTTTTATATTATTTAGTTGCGAGTGGTCTAATATAATWTTATAAATAATTTCGTGACGGACAAGAGTCGTAAATACCGAAGTGCGCAATGCATAAAATACATAAAGCAACTACACTGCAGCTCGGCCGTTGTCGTGTTATTTTTTACTCATTATGTACGCCGTGGCCCACTCACAGAATATTAATAATAATTTTTGTAATTTATAAACAGTACACACTTATGACCCGTAAAATTCAACAATTACTATTTACACTCTACGCGTTCATTTTATAACGGAAAGTTTTCAGATTAATTCTCTTCTCCTCCTACTCAT